CATGACTGGCTTCCTCCACTCCTGCCTTGTCCCTCTGTACCTGATCACCTTCGTTCCCCACCCCCACCCCGAGGCTCTGACCCTCTGACCCCAGCCAAGGCCTGGGAATTCTGGCGCCGAGATCAGATGCAGAAGCTGATGCCATCTGCCAGAGTCACCTTTCATTCCCAGCTCCACTGGGCGGGGTGGCGGTTTGGAGAAGATGTTCTCTGGTCAGGGTTGGGCCCAGGAGTCTAGCGATAGGCGTGGCTCAGCATGTGGCAGGTGCATGCTCTGAGCAGTGTGTCTGTCCTGCAGGCAGCAACATGGGTTCTCTGGATGGGGGTGTCTGTCCAGGGGTTACTAGCACCTCCTGATCTTTTGGGTCTCACTGTGGCCTCCGTTACTTGGGCTTTTGCTCAGGTGAGACCTGCACCTGGAGCGTGTTTGCTCGTTTGCCTGACCAACTATTTTTGCTCAGGTCCAGACTTAAATGCTCAGATGCCTCCTCCGGCTCCCTGACGACTCCCTCCCTCCAATACTCGGCTCCTCATGCCCTTCTTCAAACACACAACAAAACAGCTCTTTGTGTGATGTAGAGTTTGTCTGTCCTGCTCAGCTGTGAGTCCCTCGAGAGCAGGGATGGGTCCGGCTTGTTTACAGCTGTATCCTCAGGGCCTGGCCCATTGCAAGTGCCAGAGATGTCAGTTCCTCCTGTCCTTCTGGTCAGTGACTTTCTACCTAAGACGTCTCCGTTATCCCCTATTTCTCTTTGGCCTCGGTCTCCAAATCTGGGAACTGGAACCACTATGGTGTACCCCAAAGTGTTGGGAGAAAGAGACAGAGCCGAGCAGTAGGGATGGGCTGTCTCCCATGGGAAGGGCTGGCGCTAACCAAGCCAGAGGCCAGAGACCAGCGCCAGGTTGTGTTGGGATGAGGGTGCGGAGAAAGGGGGAAGCGGATTGGGAGGAGATGGGGAGCCTGAGCAGGGGTAGGCAGACTCAGCAAGGAAACGCAAAACCTCGCCTCCCAGGCTGCCCCTTGGGCTCTGGGCAGAGGCTCACTCACTAGCCACCCTGCCACATTCCCAGTAGCCTTGGCCTTCCCAGGAATCAAGTGGGCAGGGAGGGTGGGCTCTGTCCATTTGTCAACCTCCCTGGGCACCAGAGTGAGAGGCCAGGGTGCTGGAGCCTGAAGCCTATCCCAGGACACTCTGCTCTTGGCGCTGGATGGGTATTGTGGGCAGGGGGTAGGCAGCTGGGGTCAGACAAAGCGGAACCTCGGGTACTAGGGCATCTGCTCACGAAATGCTGGGGTGTCTGGGGGCCCCCACACACTCCTCTGTCTGCATGTACCCCCATGATGATCTCATCTACTCTGCGAGGATGATTTCCAAATTTATATTCCCAGCCACCTTCCCTCTGAGCGCCCGACTTGCATTCCCACACAGCCCACCCCACCCCACATCTCAGACTCAACATGTCTAAAACCAAACTCCCGATCTTATCCCGTCCCCAAACCCGCTCCTCCCACGCTCTGTCAATGGCCCCGATGTCCACCTGGGGCCGGCAGTGCTGAAGTCATCCTTGATCCGGCCTCCCTCACCCTCCACACCACATCCACCGACAAGTCCTATGACGCCTTCCTCAAAATACATCCTGAACCCCACTGTTCTCTCCACTGCTCAAGCCTGGTCAAGGCCCAGTTACCTCTTGCGTACCACGGCAGCCTCCTCACCTGACTCCCGTCCCCTCTCTTGACCCCCCACCCCAAGTCACACACTTGCTGGAATCAGCTCAAGTCGCTCTACTACTTAAAAACTTCTGACGCTAATGAGAACAAAGCCAACTCTTCGCCACAGTCTAAGGACCTTGTAGATCTAGCCTCCACCCGCCTCTCTGATGCCATGTCCCCTGTGTTCACTGAACACCAGCCACAGTGGCTCCTTTCTGTTCTTCAAACACCGAATCCTTTACCATGCCCCCAGGGCCTTTGTATTTGCTGCTCCCTCAGCCTAGAATGCTTCTCCTGGACTAGTCACGTGGCTTCTCATCCCTTAGTTCTCATCTCAGATGCTACCCCCTCCTAGAGACCTTCTCTGAGGTCCCTGTGGAAAGCCGCCCTTCCGCCCTCCCCAGCACGGACCACGTCCTCCCGGCATCTTCGCATACGTGCTCCTGTGTTCGCTCTCTCAGAGGTTCACCTCTGCAATGCAGAGCTTTTGTCTTTTCTACCACAGAAGCCCCAGTGCCGACACATTATGGACCCTCCATGAATGTCTGCTGAAATGACTGAACGGATCGGCCTCAGTTTTCCCTTCTGTAAAGGGGGATGAAGAAGTAGCATTGACCCAGACAAATCCTAGTAGGGTCCTGGGGAGCTGCTGGGCCACCGCCATTGCGGAGCTGACTACAGGGTCCTCCTGGGTGCCTAGGAGCCCCAGGCCAGGCTGGAGCCGCCTCTGCTTCCTCTGATGCATTTTCCACTTCCTCTCCGTCGGGGGTTGACTCCTGAGAAGACTCAGGAGGCTGAGCGGCTGTTACCATGCTCACAGGTCTGGGGACCCAGCCCTAGGTGGAGAGGTTGGGAGCCCACAAGGGAGCAGGCAGTACTGGCTGGGGCCCTACTGAAGCTCGGCTTTCCACCTGCTCTACCCTGGGCCTGCATGTGGACACCTGGTGCGCCTTCCCGCAGGGACACTGTCAAAGGGCATTGGGGTCCGGAGGGCAGTGAGAGGACCCAGGCCGCCTGGGCCAGAGTCCACATCCTGCTCCACCACATGACAAGCAAACAGCTCCCAATGTCAGCTGTGGCCGGGCTGGCCTGCTGAGCTGCCCATATTCTGCCTCCTCTCTCTGCTGGACAGTGAACTCCAAGAGGGCAGGGGTCAGGTCTACCTAGGGACTTCCTGGACACCTACAGCCACTGTCTCAGGAAGGTAGGGCAGTAGCTATCAGTGTCCCCATCCCATAGATGGGGAAAATGGAGGCCCACACACCTGAACGTCCCTGTGTCCAGTTCAGGGCTTGGCTCTCAGAGGCTGTGCACAGCCAAGACTGGGCTTTGGAGTCTCATGGTACTGTCCGTGTGACCTTAGGCAAGACATCGAACCTCGGGGTCTCAGTTTCCTCATCTGCAGGATGGGCACCATGGGACCTGCCTCATGGGGCTGTTGGAGCCATCCTGTGAAGTGTGGGGTGGGCATGTGGAAGGGCTCAGTAGATGGGAGCTGAGGTCGCCTTCCCTTCCCACCCCTGCTCAGAGCATACAGCCTGGCACGGGGCAGGTGTTCAGCTCACATTAGATGCATGAAAAGCAGGAGTGTAGTTCGTACACTGTAAAGTGCTAGATTTCACGAGTGCCATATAAAGTGCTGAGGCCTCAGGGCTTTATTGGCTCCAGGGCCCCACCCTAGACCCCTCTCTCTGTTAGGCCTTGGGGAAGGGGCCTATCTGTGTGTCCCTTGCTTGTGTCTCTGCAGTTCTGGGAGGCACGTGAGCAGTGGGAGGGTTCTTTGGGAGCCATCCCCGGTCCCTGAGAGACAGACGGCCTCCCTCTCTGCTGACCAGATGGGCCTGGCCACCCCCACGGTGGCTCTCCAGCATCCCACAGATACATCGCTCTAATCAGGACCCTTCCCTCTCCCACCCCCCAACAGTTGGCACTGGGCTTCCCAGGTCATTAGAGGGGCAGGAACGACCATCCAGTCCAAGTAATGGTATCAGAGATGGGAAACCGAGGCTCAGAGAGGGCATGTGACTGGCCTGAGTTTCACAGCGGAACCTGGCCTGGACCCAGCACGTCTCTCCCCAACACTGCTGTCCCTTGCAGGGAGGGGCCTCTGCCTCCCTCTCCCACATGCCAGTGGCTTCCTTAGCCACGAAGGTCATTGGAAGAAAGCTGGGGTTTCTGGAGAGGGCGAAGGAGGGAGATGACAGTGGGAGGGGTCAGTGTCGGCTCTGCCGCTTCCTCCTCCCCCTCCTGCCCAGCCCCCATCTGGCCTCCAGCACCAGGAGAGCGCCATCCTCTCTCCTTCTCAGCACCCCAAAAGCCATCTCTGCCTTCCCTTTCTTAGGGGAGCCTGGGAGGGTCACGACACTGCCCGCCCCCCTAAACCCAGGGCCTTTTGTCTTTGCGGTGGTCCCCCACTCCCTGCCACCTGGCCCTCCCAGCGCCTTGTGGGATCAGAGGCAGGAGGGGGATTAGGTTCTGCAAATGGCTCCCCCCTCCCCGCCATCCTGTCTCCCTGTCTTAGTCATCTCTGCCCTCCGCCGCCTTCTCCCTCCATGACCACCCCTCTGCCGGGCCAAGCGGAGAACGACATTGACAGGCGCCCTCCGCCCAGGGGCGGCGGTGGAGCAAGGGGCCGGCTGCTCAGAAAAGGATCAGAAGCGGTTTCTCCCCCACCCCCTTCCCTTCCTCATCCTGCAGCCCGCGCCTCCCCCACGCCGCCGCTCTGCGCACGGATGGCGGCCGGAGCCGCAGAGGTGTGTGTGTGTGTGAGAGATGGGGGGAAGGTTGCGCCTGGTCCTCGATGCCCACCGGGCTATGTCCTCTCCCAGGAGCTGTGGGGGGGTGTCCCTGCCACAGTCCAGGAATTCCCGTGCGGGGAGGGAGCTGTCCTCCGTAGAGCCTAGGGGGTAGGAGGCACTGCCCTGGGGGTGCTGCCCCTCCAAGAAGCCGAAGCAATGCAAGCCCCTCGGTGCCCGTACGAGGGGGTACAACCCTGTACAAGGGTCTCCTGGCAGAGCGTTGTCTTCCCAAAAGGATGGGGAGGATGAGGGGGGCGTGATACCGTGGCCCGTGGCCTGACGCCGTTTGCCGGCAAGCTGGGGGCGCTGCTGCCTCTGAGGGGCTCTCGTGGAGGGGGACGGCCGCCTCCCTCTGGCTGGAGGTGGGGGGCGCGCGGTCCGCGGGTGCAGCGCCAGGGTCTGCGAGGTCGCCGCGCCGTCGGGGCGGGGGATGGAGGCCCTGGGGACCCAGATGTGAGGAGTCCGCGCTCCAGGGCGCGCCGCTCTTACCTGCCTACGAAATTCTCTAGCACCGAGCTCTTGCCCGCGCTCTGGCCTCCCACCACAGCGATCTGCGGCAGGTCGAGGTCCGCGTTCTGGCCGATGGCGGAGAAGGCGTCCTGCAACCGGTTGACCAGCGGGATGAGATCTTCCATGCCGCGGTTGCCCATGGCTGCGGCGGGCCCCGCGGGCTGCGATCCGGC